CGTCCAAATCCTAGTAGCTAATTCGAATCCCCAAAAACCGCTGATGATTCTCAAAACCAAAGTGCCTTCTCCATCGAAGCACCATCTTGTCAACCGAAGTGACTTGCTACACATTATGTACACTAACGTCAAAACGTCAAATCATAGGTTTCTTCTAAAAATGATTCACATCCTCAAGGCGGCGAAAAGTTAAACGATTCATTTTTTTTCTCTTACTCGGCTTCCCGAATCCGAATGAAAGGGGCCAATGTTTTACCCTGAGAATTACCGAGTCTAATGAGCTCTTGAGAGCTGGCCACATTTCATAATTAACTGGCTGAGTCCCATAATCTGATAGCATGACCCGGGTGAGAGCACCACCGGTTTCTCTAGCAGTCCGAGTGTGAGACAAAAGATGTCCTCAAGCTGAGACCTGCTAAAGGAATCCAAACTCGAAATGAAAGATATCTTCTACTTGGACCCCTCAAATGATGACATAACCTATTAGCTTTGCTGCCTAATTGCCATTGCATTTGATGCATGGCCAGAGTCATTATGAATTCTCGAGCTGAAGTCATAATGACTCCTCAATCAACGTCAGCACTTCACCCATTCTATCGCTGTCACATTAAAATACAGAGATGACTCATTCAACCGACCACTAACACCTATAAAGAGCAGTTTGACCGACTTATTGCATCAACCCGGTTGAATTATCAACGTGTCTCCTATAAATTCTCTATAAATAGTGGACAACCCACTATACCAAGGTACGCTGAAAAAAAAACCCTACAACTAGATTCTGCATTTTACGAGCTTGCCTAGCTGAATCAATCACTGACTTGAACACTGAAAGGCACACCAAGGGACATCTCATTCGGTCCTTTAACAGGCACTATTTGTGTAGGAATCTCCTTCGTCCTAATTAATCAGCCATCAGGGAAAATCAAGGGATCCTAAACTCTTCCAAATATCCATCCGCCTATACAATTAATTTTCTAACATATAATTTTCTAACATAAACAATTTGGAGTCCACCACTCTTTTACCTCTTGGCAGTTTATTCTTGCAAATGAACTCTCAGCTTATATTCAATATTTACATATTTATATTAATAAGTACAAATCAGAACGCTAATCAGGTTTGAGTGAGATCGTGACAGATTTAACAAAAGGACATACTACTACATGAGATAAAGTTGCTTGTGTCAATTAGTTTGAAGTCAAATATAAGACTATTACACCTACCCTTATATTTCTTTTGAACAATTTGTCGATAGCAGCTCAGCATCTTCCTTGGTTACCTTCCATCACGGCAGAAACATTCAATCACAGAGGAGCCAAGAAATCAGAGATAATCTGAATAAATTTGCACATGAGTACAGTAGAATTCATCAAATTTGTTTGATGGTGGATATTTGCCCAAAAGAAGAATATCCGCATGAAGATTCTTTTTATGAAGAATATACAATGATGCGGCTAAATATCAGCTAAGAAGTACTTTCTTTATTACTCAACTTAAGCCCGTTGAAATTTAGAAAACTCTTCAAATGTTTATTCATATCCATTCTTTTCTTTTTCTTTTCCTAAGACTCTCTACGGTAGAATAGTAGAGTCAAGAATGGTGAATGTATCTCCTTGAACGAGCCATACAAAGGTCATGCAATCATCTAGCTGTTGAATTTTAACCGGAGGTATTCACAAATAACAAACTTTTTTTTTGTGGAACTCTGTCAGATCGACAGGAAATAGAGCTGGAGCAACAAATACTGCAGCCATATATTCCTATTTTTAATGTCTGGGTACCAACAAGATATCTGCAGATGACAATAAATTTAAATTTTCTAGAAAAAGAATTGCTGGTACAAATCCTTTGGGTGTGTTTAGTAATCGAGGTGTTCGTTTTTGTCGTGTTTTTTGGAAAAACACAATGTCATGGTGTTTTTTTTCCAAACATGTTTTGAAAACACCATTTATAGTTATTATTTATAAAACGACGGCGGCAGCGTGGGGGCGACGGATGATCGGTAGCCGGCTAACGG